GACTTTCATGGTCAACGAAGCTGGATTTTTTTTCTAGACATGTTTGAATTCTTCTTGATGAACGCCTATAGTGAAGTGACATGCATGAGTGCTAAAAGTTTCTACACTCTTTGTTTATCCCTTCTTGTTGTCTTCACATCCCTCATAACTTGTCTGTAAAGAAACATTTGGCCTTGTGATTTAGTACTTTGTTTTCTGTATATCTGTAAATGGAATTAAAAGAATAAACCTTCGAAAATTTCATCTTGAGTAGCATGTAAGAGATTTTGTTAATACGCTTTATTTCAACCACATTATCTCTTACTTTTGCTTGTGAGTTTTGTCGAATTATAAAGACCTGAGTTTTCCCCCTCTTTTTGGATTATGTATCTTTGTTGCTAGTTATTATTTGGTTCTGAAAGCTTTTGCACTTTTCTATTTTACAACTGAAATATGTGGCTGTTAATTGAACACAATAGGTGGATGGCTGCTCAGAGTGTGTTCTATCATCTGTACAACCAGGTCTCATACATGTCTCTGGACGAGATCTCTCCTTTGACGTTTAGCATTGGCAACACCATGAAACGCATATCGGTTATAGTCTCTTCAATCATCATCTTCCACACGCCAGTTCAACCCGTCAATGCTTTTGGAGCTGCTATCGCCATCCTTGGAACCTTCTTGTATTCACAGGTATTTTCTAGTCAAGTATTTCATTTAGTTTTCATATTATGATGCGTCTTATTTCTTTATAACCAATTGTTTTTCCTTTTGGCTGTATTATGTACTAGTAAAAGAAAGCACTAATCATCAATACTGGTAATCCGTTCATCAAACAGAAGGGGAAATAGGTTGTTCATTGTCTGATTGTGGGTGAAACCTCAATAAAGACTTTTGATAGGGGGCACTGTTCTTTGTTAAAGAGTTCAAACACCTTTTTAAGTCCTAAACTTTTTCACTCTTAGAAAAGGGCAGAGGCGGAAGAATTTTAATTTATCAAGTTTATGAAAGGTAAAAGTCTGAGGCTCATATTGCAGAGTTAGGTTTCTCTGTGTTTCACAATATCATAACTACCCGTAAGGTGGCCTCATGCTTGGTTTAGGTGAGCCAATGTTTGGTTTGTAGCAGTTGGACTTCGAATTGCCACCTAACTGTAATTACTTCAATCCATCGTGTTGTGTTCCAATTTCAAGTCAATTTTAACTTGAGTTAGTTGGAAATGGACCACTTTAAATAAGTGACTTGAGAATATGCGTTGGTTCATACCTTCACGGCAAGGAAGCACTTGGCTGTCACTGTTGTAAATATTTTGTGGGACCTTGGAAAATAAAGCCACGTGAGAGTTTGAGAAGTGAAATATTAAATAGACTTGGTGTGCAATTTAGGTATTTGTTATCAAGTTCCCTAATAAATTATAAAGTTCAGGTCCTCTCAATTCTCACCACTTGTGGTCAGATATCATAGAACAGTGTGCAAGACCTACCATTCCAATGGGTCCTACTCACTGTATCCATCTCGCCCAAAATTGACAAGAAATTTAAGGGGGAAATTTAGATGATACGAGGTCATAATTTTATTGCAAGCGAAGGACTATTTTGATTAAAAATAATTATTCTCATTCTGTCATTTTTGCAGAGGAAAATGATTCTGATTTCTCATTCTGTCATTTTTTTTTTTCAAGGCAAAACAATAGGGTGGAGGAATTGAACAGAAGGTAAAACCTGGTACAACCTTATGCCCTTATCATCTCAGCCAAGGACAAGGAAGCTAATTACAAGAGATATGTGACTGCTGGGTTTTTATTTTTTATTGGGATGATCTGGCTGCGTGGGCACTTGTACATACTAATATTAAGCAATAATTCTGCTGAGGAAACTGTATCATTACACATGATTAGTTAGTGCTTTTAGTGTGGTCTGTTTCAGACTTCCCAGAAGTTTAGAAAATAAGAAAAAACAAATGTTCTGGTTTCACAGTCCGAGCCTCCGATGATAATCTCGAAACATATGTTTATTATATGAGAAAGGTTTAATAATAATTTTAAGAACTATTTCTTGTGTTGATGCACTTGTTCTGATCCATAGATTATATTATTACTACTATTATAATTGTAATTATTACGATCAACCATATTCGTAATGCAACTTGAGATTTTATTATGTGCATTGCATAGCAGAAATTTTGGCCTTTTGAGGCAATATTGAATGCTTCCCATGTGAACATGTTCAAGAAGAAAGTGACCCTTCAGTGATCAAAGGGTTCATAGCAATATGGTCCTCTTATTTGTGGTTTGGGTCAGTCTAAAGTGTATGCTAGAGATAGAGACACTAAACAGGATCTTCCTACTTTTTGAAGGTTTCACATCTATGCATTATAGCTATTAAGACCTTCAAAGGCCAGATTGTTAGGTATTAGTGCTTTTAGGCTTGAATTATTTCAAGTCTCAATACATCTCTTAGCAAGAAAATGTACCGGAAACACCAGTTTTAGAGAGGAAACATGACAGCTAATAAGTTGTCATTTATGTTATTTTAACGGTCATTCATACTCTTTGGAATTATAACTTAATGTTCTTGATGTTATAATGGGAAATTTATTTATTACCACTTGGATGAAAATGGATATGCACTCTATTTAAAATATCGTCTTTTAACTATATAAATAAGAGGATACCCTTTTTAAAAAAATAAAAAGAAAATTAAACCTGCGTTTAGAAAACCATGTGCAGAGAAAATAAGGTCAAAAAAATTAATATATGTTTTTAATTTTAATTATGTCTAAATTCACTTTTCCCCTTTTAAGATTTGTCTGAATGGAAGAGGATAGGTTGAAAAAAATAATATTTATATAATTTACAACAACAAAAATGAATAAACCAACATTTCTATTTGCTTTTCCTTCCTTTTGTTAAACCTCTCATCTCAAGTTTAATTAGTTTGCTAATAGTTTTCTAATGGGTAACATAACTTCTAGCATGAAAGGAATAAGGGAAACATAATCAAGTGCACGCTAATAGAAACAATTTTGCTTTGGCTTTCATGTATCCCCCCAAGAAAAGAAGATGCTTCGTAATGAAGTGGCCACCATTATTGATCCAAAGAATGAACATATATGTGAACATGACTGTTTGCGTGTGTGTAGAGAGAGAGAGAGAGAGAGAGAGAGAGAGAGAGAGAGGAACCGGTTTCAAGGAAAATATGATGATACTGGGAATCTGCAAATTGCAAGTGATGATGATGAAGTTGCAGGAGCTTCCATCTTCATTGAAGAGCTAATAGAAATGGAGTGTCTGAATGAACATAAGCTGTTGGGATGTATTTTAAGCTTTTGTAATTTGCAGAAGAAGATGGATGTGGATAATGCTTTTAAGGTTATGATGAAGCCCCCATGAAAAAACAGAATATATCTTTGTGGATAAGATTTCGTTTCAATTCTAGGAAGAATGAATAGAAACTAGAAATAAGTTATCCACAACAACATTTGAAAATAAACATATTAAAATTAGAGAATTAAAAAAGATTTTATAAAATTAAGAGATCCAATTAAAAAAATCTTTCTCCTGATTTATAGTATTTCTTTTTAAATATAAGGACATTTTAGAAATGTGCAATATATAAACATCTCTCATCTTAATTCTCTAAATTTAATTTACATTAGGAAAAATCACAAAAAAAGACCACCAAAATTTAAAAATTACACAGAAAGACCTGTTTATAAAAATTGTTATCAAAACCTATACTATTATTGTCAAAACACATAATAATATTATAAGCAATGTTTAGAAACCCGAGCCGGACCGGACGGTCAGACCGTCGGCCGGACTCAGCCACGGCTTGGTTTTTCAGTGGGAGCCATTTTTCATATTAGACCGTTTTGAACTGGAGAAAAGCCGTTTTCTGACCGGAACCCGCTTTTAAGCCGGAAACCGGAACGGATCTGTAAGAACCGGACGGCTAAACTTGTAGAGGGAAATGGGTGAAGAAAAACCAGAAAAAAAAAAAATCGAGAAGGAGATGGATGAAGGTTTGTGGCCGTGTCTTGGTCCAGCTCCTCCAGTCCCTGCTCGTCTGTCAATCATCTGGTGTGTGTTTCTTTGTTTCAAAATCCAAGTTGAATGAAATACAATGACCAGGAAGCTAACAGCAACGAGAATGTGAGAGATAAAGAAGAAGAAGTCAGGAGGCTGACGGTAAAAAAGGTGTGAGAAGCAAAAATAAAAAATTGAACGGGGTCAGAATATGTGAATTGAAATAGTGTGAGAGATCAATGTTGATTAGACTATTTGTCAGGCAACACCAGATTGGGGCAGGGAGTAGGCTGAAGCTAAACTAATATTTTAATATTTTTTTACCTGAAGGTTGATATATGGACATGTACATATGGGCGAAGCATATTGTAATGGTAATTATATTACATTTTTTGATGTTTTATTCTTAATTTTTTATGTATTTGTTGTACTTGTATTGTTATATATATATAATATTATTTTTATTTAATTATTATGTAACCGGTCTGACCACCGGTCTGACCGATCCAACCGTTTGAACCGTGACCGGTTGATCTTTCCGGTTTGATATCCGGTCCGGCTTTTAAAACATTGATTATAAGTCTTTATTTACAATTTTTCTATTTCAGCAGTCTTTTTTTTTATGATTTTCCCTTTAAATTAATCAAATATTATTTTTAATTAAACTTTAATATATTTAACATTGAATAAAACAAGATAAAGAAATATCAATATTTTAATCATCAGTTTATTAAAAAAAAATTTATTTCACTTCGGAGAAAAAAAACCAAAAGCAAAAAAAAGAAAGAAACCCGTCGACTCTCAAATCAATGGTTCAGAAACAATCACATCATCTGGTTAACTTAAATGGTCAAGTTTACAAGTTTAAGAGTTTCCACTTTTCAATTGGTCTTGCGAAAATAACAAGAATTAGACATCTTTTCAACCACTGAACTTGCTTTTAATGACCAATAAACAGCTGAGCATAGCTAAAATGACAGAATCAATATCACAGTATCACAAGGAGACAAAACAAATTGCTTTATTAGTAGATTTTAAATCATAGTCCTTATTAATAAAACCAGCATCCAGCAAAATGGGCTACAAGCATTAAATAACACATGCATAACTTTTTCCCAAACACAGAACTTTGCTTTATACAAAATTAAACTGATACTAACTCCCTCGCATGAAGATGAAGCTACTCAGCAGTCAAGCTTGTTGATCTTCACTGGACACCTCAAATCATAGCAGAATATGACCCTTACTCAAACCTTCAAATACTTGATGGCAGTCTGCACATCTTTATCGCCTCGGCCGCTGAAGTTAACCACAACCTTGGCTCCATTCGGAAGGGTCGGGCAAAGCTTCTCGAGATATGCCAAGGCGTGAGATGTCTCCAATGCTGGGATTATACCTTCAAGTCTTGAAACTCTCTTAAAAGCTGCACACAAAAATATCCAAGAATGAAGCAGAAAAACAAAACCTGATAAAAACAACACCATATCTTAACTGAAATTTTTGCACAGAAAATTTAAGAATTTACAAAGTAAATGCCATGCACAATTAGAAATGGCCAGATAGTTCCCGCAGCAATGCATGTCTTCATACTAACTGAAGAAAGTGACATGACACATGACCTACTCGTAGCTTTTAGGCGTTTTCTATAAGTTTTCCCAATAACAACATGATGCATCAATATTTCGCATAGAGTAGCTCTATATGATTGGGACTTTCAGAGAAGTTTCTCCAAGGGAACCAAACAAGGTTTTGTCTTATTCCAGTTACCTATGGCAGTAATGTAGGGTGTAACAAAAACATATGATAAACGGGTAACAGATACTGTGGCGCACAATATAGACTTCAACAGAGAATTGGAAAAAAGAAAAAAACAGAAAAGAAAAGAAAGATAGCTCTGAGACTTCTGGACAACATTTAAACTCTACTACACCTCGATAATAGTAAACTCCTATTCCTCTAGGAGTTCCACTTTGATGAGTTTCTCAACACAAACACGCATACGCATCCAGGAAAGAAGGCATCATCGCCTGCTGATCACTTAAAGACTTCAATTATACCAAGAATCCCGATCTTGGATCACCAAATTATAACAAGACAAAGCAACTTAATCTGACTATTTCAAACTACCAAACACTAACAAAAATTTTAAGTAACGATTTGATACTTCAAGTTCATCACAGCCTCACACGTGCCTGCTCTATTAACTGACAGCAGCTGGAAATACTTGAAGAATCAATCTTCAGAAAAGACATCATTCAACATGCCAGATAGGTATAATCTACTCACAATGCAACAGCCCAAGTGGAAACTATGTATAGTACCTAAGATATAATTAACCTTTCTTACCATCTCGAGAACATATATCTGAAAGAATAGGCATAAGCATTCTGAATTCGAAAACCACAAAATGATACCATATGCTAAAGCAAAGGCAAGACAAAGAAAACACAATAGCCATGTCTGCGTTAGATATAGCAAAAGTCAGGCTTGCCCTACCTTCCAATGCTTCTTCATCAGTGACACTATGATATTCAGCACGTCCTAAATCTTTCAAATAGCTGTGTTCAGGTCCAACACCAGGGTAATCCAAGCTGCACGATGCACATAATTCTTCATAAGAGAACAAGCAAAGTCCACAGGGGAAAAAGTAAATCAACAGCACAAATATCAATCAGGAAAATTACCCTGCACTAATAGAATGAGGCTCGATTATCTGCCCATCATCATCCTGCAGCAGATAGCTCATAGCCCCATGTAAAATCCCAACTTCTCCCTTTGATAATGTTGCAGCATGCTTGCCACTGTCAAGGCCAAACCCTGCTGCCTCGACACCAATCAGCCTGACATCTTTGTCATCAACAAATTCATTGAAAAGTCCCATAGCATTTGAACCTCCACCAACACATGCAACCAGCAAATCAGGTTTCCCTCCCCACTTTTCCAAAGCTTGTTTTCTGGTTTCCTTGCCAATCATAGAATGGAACTCTCTTACCATCATAGGATATGGATGTGGACCCGCAACAGAACCTAAAATATAATGAGTTGTCTCCACATTCGTCACCCAATCCCTTATAGCTTCTGATGTAGCATCCTTCAGAGTCGCTGTGCCAGAATGGACAGCTCTTACCTACATTATAGAGTTGCCCTATTAGAAGGCTCAATCATCATACTACATGTATAAAATTGTTATAGTAGTCAGTCTCAGGCAACTAGGTTGCATGAAACACATTTTTCCAGAAAGACTGCTAGCATAAATCAAAGTCAATAGCCCTTGCTTAGTCTTGGTTGATAACAATATATATCCTACAAGCATTCTAGAATATTTTTAAAAGATAAACAGTTGTTGGGATAAACCACTTCAAATAAAGACCATTCCCTTGTATTTTTCTGTACTGAAGACAACAGGAAGTATTAGGCAAACAAAACAGCATAACAACTACAATTAACCTACCTCCGCACCAAGAAGACGCATCCTGAAGACATTAAGGGCTTGTCTTTCCATATCCTGTGCACCCATATAAATTATACATTGTAAACCAAATCTAGCACATACAGTAGCAGTGGCAACTCCATGCTGCCCAGCTCCAGTTTCCGCAATAATGCGTTTTTTACCCAACCGTTTGGCAAGCAAGGCTTGGGCAACAGCATTGTTAATTTTGTGAGCCCCAGTGTGGTTAAGATCTTCCCTCTTCAAATAGATGTGAGGCCCTTCACCATTAGGACGCTTATAATGCTCTGTCAACCTCTCTGCAAAATAAAGAGGATTCTCCCTGCCCACATAGTCTTTCAAAATCCCACCAAGTTCTCTCTGCAATTTCAAATACGTATCTCAGAGAGATTTCCATCATTTATTTCAGATAATTACGTTTCTAATTGTGTGTTTGTGTATGGATAACAAGGAGCAAAAGAATTGTTGTTTCTGGCTCTGTTTGTGCGCGCGAGCGTGAGAGGGAGAGTGAGAGATTCTTAACGCAATATTGTAATGGTAACAAAAATATATATCTTCAAAAGTGGTTCTAACATTTAGAAAACTACTTCCTAGTGTGCGCTGATCAACCAAATCTTTTTCAAATAATCTGTTTCATATCTCTCAGCAGTAGCATAGACGAAAGTAAACATCTTTATCTTAAATACCAGAAGTTGATAGTAACACAGGACAAAGAAGATTAACAGATAGAATGACATGTGACAGTGCGACCTAACTTCAAATAAAATGCATCAAAATACCAATCACCAAAGCGATGAACATCGATTCATTACTCTACCTCACCGAACTGGTGTGCGAAAAATGGAAAAATCAAACCTATACATGAAATTAAATCCAGTGACATTGATGGAAAAACCTGAAAATCTTCATCAGCAGAAAGGGAATGAAAAGCGTCCTCAAGCTCGCTGAGCGCATACATTAGAGTCTCAGGGACGTACTTGCCGCCAAATTTACCGAAGCGGCCAAACGAATCGGGTCGCTGCAATACCATCGACCCATTTCCGTCTTCTGCGAGAACAGACGCAGGCTCTTTGACGAGCGAACACGAGACAGAAGGGGAAGTTCGAGTAACCCATGAAGAAGGGCAAGGAGTAAATTTGAGGAAGTTTGAGGGTAAATGCGAAGAAGGGAACATCTCCTTTGGAATCATCCTTGTACAGTCGAAATGGTTTCTGCATGTAGCAGAGCTTGTAACGGGATAAGCCATGGCCGTGTGAGCTCTGATTCCAGAAATTTGATCAGAAATGAAGGGTTTATGAGAATGTAGATATGAGACGAGCAAGAAGTAAAATTTATAGACTCAAATGTCGGCTTTTCTTCCTTAAATCGCAGTGAAAATCGAGTGGTTGCAAGTTTCAACACATCATCGTACGGGAGGTTTGGGGGGCCGGAAACGGACTCTTCATGCAGTACATTGAACAGACGGACATCGGATTATATGTAGTTTGTCTCATTGTCTGAGAGGGAAAATATACTTAGTCTAATCTTAATCTTAATTATATGAATAAAATCCCGATTTATGGCATTGCTATTTTTAGCCTAAAGTTTATCCCTTTTTTTCTCTTTGGAAAATTTGCCTGACCAGGAAAAAAAAGGCCTGTGATAGGATGGTGATATGATGCATTTTACTCGGATTTAGATTCCCTCCACTTCTTAATAAAATTATTAATCACTAATATTGTCAGGTTAAATATTTGAGGACCGCATATTTAATATATTTTATAAGATTATTAATAAAATGATAAATTATAAAAAATAAATAAATTGAAACTGCTACAGTTTAAAATTGTAATAAAAAATATTTTATAAAATATTAAATTTTCATCACCTAAATTTTAATCTAATAATTATAAGATAGAAAGTAGGTGGAGAATGAGAGGGAGAGAATCTAAATCCATTTTAACCAGTTATATATGAAACAAACTTTTAATCATGAATTTGTTAGTTACATTTATAATTCAGTGATTGTGCTATTTAAAAAAGTGTTTGTAATAAAGATTGAGGAATATTGTTTCAATCTGAGACATATGTCTATATTTAACATCTGATAGTATCTCAAATAAAATTGTATCTAATTAAAAAATACATACGGGTAGTAAAAAATGATTAAAGAATATTATTTCACCACAATATAAAATATTTAAACCAGTTAACTGGTCCTATTTACAAGGTTTTGTTGACTGTTTCATGCTTCCTTTTAAATTGGTCAAAATACAATTTAAGATTCTATTTTTAGCTCCCTTTCAACGTCTAACTTTAACTTAATAATAGATAATTAATACTCCGTCAATTTCAATTGCAATAGTGCCTGGTTTTTTGTATCTTAGACTGAAATAGCTCTTTCAAATTCGGATGAGTTCTCTTATGATTATCTCCTTTGAAAATGATCCATCATTTTCCCAAGTACTCCTCCGGTCCTAATTATAAGACCCAATTGACTTATTTGAGGAGATTAAGGAAGTAAGTTAAGTTGGTTATTTATAATAAATAAGTGTTGTCATTCCTAAAATATCCTTGCTAATTAAGTATATTGGCTAAAACTATCATTATTAGAAGGATTATCTTGGAAAAAATGCATAAATATAAGAGAGAAAATGGATTGGGTCTTATAATTAGGACCAAATAAAAAGTCAAATTGGGTCCTATAATAAGGACCGGAGGAGTATTATTTTTCTCCTACTTAAAATAAATTTTCAACATATTTTACTAAAACTTTAAAAAATAACATTTCTTTAAAATAATTTTTTAAATTTATATACATTTAACACACACACACACACACTAAAAGCCTAAACAAATGACAATCACAATGAATATAAGGATAAAATAGAACAATCACTTAATAAATTTAATAAAATGTCGGAAAATTTTTTCTTTTTTCTTTTTGCCAACTGAAAAAAAAAATCTCTTTCTTCCTACAAATAACACTAGGAGAGTATAATTATAAATTGTAAGCAAAATATTCGCGTCATTTCCAAAAACGTATGTGTCATCCAAAAATGCGTGGTCGCTGTCGGACCCCCGACATATTTTGTCTGTACCAAAAAAGATGAAGAACACGTGCGCAAAAACGTAAAGTTAGAGCAGATGATTAATAAAACTTTTTATACTCCTCCGGTCCTAATTATAAGACCCAATTGATTTATTTGAGGAAATTAAAGAAGTAAGTTAAGTTGGTTATTTATAATAAATAAGTGTTGTTATTCCTAAAATATCTTTGCTAATTAAGTATATTGGCTAAAACTATCATTATTAGAAGGATTATCTTGGAAAAAAATACATAAATATAAGAGAGAAAATGGATTGGGTCTTATAATTAGGACCAAATAAAAAGTCAAATTGGGTCTTATAATAAGGACCGGAGGAGTATTATAATATATTGTATAATAATATAAATTGAATATTTTTCTTAGCAAAGTAACTTTAACAATTATCCAAATATAAAACAGAGAACTATAAACCACACAACACAATGAAATACATGAAGAATTTTAGCATTTAATTAAAGCCTATTGAATATAGACACGTTGACATTGAACAGAAAACCTTTTTGAAGATAAGAGTTGTTAAAAAAAAAATAAACCTACGGTTCAACGCTACAACTACAATTCAAAAAATAAATCACTTCCATAGAAATTTCTTGATCAACAATATAAGACATTTAAAAAATCATACTTATTTATCAATTTTACTCCTACAATTAATACTTATAGGGAAACTGACAAAAAAAGAAGCTAAAACTTATTAAATCCTAAATCAGGTTTGATTATAAGATTTACTTAATATTGACAATATTAAATTTGTAAATGACAATAAATTTTTATAAAAATTCCTTATTTAGTATTTAGTAATTTAACTTTTTTTTAAATTATTTTTCCATATTTATATGTGACTCTCTATGCTTTTCTCTCTTCCCATTACAACCTCATTTAATATGAGCAAAGTCATGTTTTTTAATATAATTCAGAATATTCTCAACCCATTTTAAACTTGAGACTAACCTATATTAAATTAAGAGTATTAAAATTTAAATTTTTCTAATAAATATGCTTCTCAAGATCCAGAGTTATATTGACAAGACCGCTTATCATTTCAATTAATTACTCGCAGGTCAACAAAATATATCAATTTCAAACAAAATAAGTTAATTGCTATATTTTGAGGCGTGAGATGAAGAAAAGGACAGTGAAAAAATGAGAAAAAAATTATGCAGCTCATTAGTCAGTAAAAGCCTTTTTTTACGGAAGGGGACAAGACAAGGGTCGAAAAACAAATTACGAAACCGGTAAAAATTTATCCTCCTCATAACAGACTCGCGCGCGAACGATTTTTCTAATAGCAGCGCAAAAGGGAAATGAGTCAAAAACTTGGATTTTATATAATTTTTATAATGCGAGGAATAGATTTTTTTGCTTTTTTGTGACAACGAGGAATATATTTTAAAAGCAATATATATATATATATATATAGAGAGAGAGAGAGAGAGAGAGAGAGAGCTCTTTTGAAATTAACAATGCCATCGTCTTATTAAAATAAAGTCTAATCGCATCTCATTAACATTCATAAGCGCATACACTAGGTGTTACAGCCAATATTTTTTTTTTTTGATATCTTGGTGTTGTATTCTACAGAAAAAATTACCAAAATTCAAGCAACATGGCATCTATCAAGCGAAATTAAATACACAGAAGATGAACATGATCAAAATAACCTGCTGATGGGAGTGTTTGTCACTTCCAATGAGCAGAAAGGGCAAGATTTGACCAAGACTCTGCTCATCACCCAATAGAGTTTTCATGTAATAACACATACTCTCGGCTGCCGATAAAAAGAAAAACAAAAAATTAAGTGGTGATTTTTTTTGGGGGGGGGGGGGTTCTAGCTAATTATATGCAATCAAAACAAATGCAGTCAGGAACTAGCAAGATCTGTTTCTTACCTACTGTTGCCGAATCTAATTGTGTCCTTCTCACGTAGCTCATAATAACGTTGAGGTTCAATGGGGCTCTCCTGCAAAAAGAGCAGCAAGCTTCAGACGGAATCATACATTACCTAGTTTCAGTATTTCATCCTACCACAACATATGAAAATATTAAGAAACTGATCACTGGTATCTTCAGTTACTACTTACATTAATGAAAGTTTTGTTGGTGCTTCCGAGGTCCATTAAGTAAGGCCTAGCGGAGAAGCAAAGAGGATGTCAGGTTCTTCTGAAATTGAAATTACAGCTTAGATAGGGAATGGACGAAAATTGCTACCTTATTTGTTTCAACATCATACCATCAGGTTGCTCCTTTTCGACTTGCCTGAAAACACAAGTAACAAAGAAACTTGAGAAAATTCAATTAGGGCAACAACCATGCTGGAGATTATGCTATTATGGATCTACATTAAGATGTTTTCATTTTCTTTGTGGTTTTTCAATTAAGAAATGTTTGTTTCTAGTACTTACCTCCAACTATCATAATCCCAGATAAAAGAGGAGAGTTGTGTTAAGCCCTTAACAACTACTATAAAACTCTATCGAATATCTTATGAACAAGGATCAATGACAACATTGTGCTAATGTTAGTTCATTGTCCATGAATAGTGACAAATGAGCGAGAGCCACTGCATCGTTAGTCCATAAGAACAAGATCAGATTTAGTACTTGGGAATATTGGGACAATATCTTGAAAATATATGGAGGTGGTCAGAGTTATGAAATAGAAATCTTAACACCTTAAAACTAAATGGGCTGGAGAAAAACCTATGGAACTTGTAGATTTCAAACTTTGGTAAACGGACAAGAAAGGGGATTAGTATCATCATTGATGAAGAGCGGAAGAATGCGGTGGAAGTGAAAAGGGTTGGGGACATAATCATATCCAACCAGCCAAGAAAAAGTTGATGCCAGGTATAAAAATTTGGCATGTTGAGAATTACATGGATGACTAGGTTGATTGTAACAATGACCACTGATATAAGGAAACTTCCCCAACACAAGACAGACACATAGTCATGGGCAGCAGCCTGGGAATAACACTTTGCTAATGATAACTCCATGGTCTATAAAATGATAACTCCAAGTTAGGAGTACCCAAATAGTGTTGAAAATTACGCTATTACACATCTGCTTTAATTAAATTGTTGTTATCTTATTTCATTTTGTAATTAAGGCTCCTTCATTTTAGTTAATTTCAGAGCTTCTATGTCTTAGAAGTAGCCCAAGTGATTTGTTGAGGTTAGGATAGAGTTCCCCAATTTTAAAAGTTGTCTTTTTGCTAGAAGCATCTGCACCCCTTATCTTCTCTACATGTACAAAGCTGTACCAAATCCAAATTCAAAGTACAATTAAAACCTTGAATTTACTAAAATAACATCATAAATTGCTTAAATTAATGGAATACCTAAATTGGATAACAGCATGTTGCTTGCTGCAGGAAGGATGATCTGTTGGGACATCTGCAACCCTTCTTTCCCTTCCAAAAAGATAACAACTTTGTCGATGTATGTAAAGGGGCTCTGCAAATAATATGCAATTTGTAAGCACAAATAAGATGGTCTTTGGTGGAGAGATTTTCATTCTAGTTTTTTGCATTGAGAGTAAGAATTAGAGATTTCAAATATAACAGTTTTCAACGCAAGAAAAACCGGCAAAACAGCATATTAAATGAAGATATGATAGTTACAACAGGACCGGAAACAACAAAAGTGCAAGGGTAATATCAAACAAGGAATAAACGTACAACTATTAAATCAGAAGAAACTTGAAAATCAGCAGCGAACAAAGCAAAGTAATCTAGCCAAGAATAGTCGCTCATCTATTGAATTAAAATAAAAATAAAATGCGCATAGTACTCACAATTCTGATGATCAAGTAATTAACTTGTACGGCATTCACGGAACCAAGTACGAAAAGTCAGGACTCAGGACCAAGAAAGCAGAGCTTACTCTTATTCATGAAGCAAAGTGCTACACGTTAAAGAAGATAAGGTGGACAGGGAGAAGTGTACGGTGTAAGACAATTGGGAAGTATGAAGATTATGATAATAAGCAGAAGCCAGAAGCCATATAGACTAACCATTTAGCACTTCACCACCCTTGAACACATAAAGCCTCCACTTTATATCAGGTTTTCTAGCCTCTGGAGGTTCATTAAATAACAATGTAACACCTGAAAACAATATATTATTTAGCATACAATTAAATTGGAAAGAGATTAATCTAAAAATGAAATTGAAAGATTTATATGCATACGCAAACAAAAGTCAAGCCTTTCTATTTTTATAAAACTACGTAAACTTCTCTTGAAAAGCTACACAAACCTTCCTTATTTTCCTGATTTTCACACAATTCCCCTATTCAAGGAATCTTTGTGTAGGATTCTAAAATATAGGGGAGATTATAGAATATTCAGGCATGGTTGAAGTATTTTATTGTATAAACAAGTTGATATCTGACCTCTGACTCTGTTGGTTTCTGCAGCAAGCTTTCCAGACAGCTCAAACGAAGGTTTATGCTGCAAATGGCAACGAAGATTAAGAAAAACCAGCAGAAATAGAACATTTGAAAACCCCAACTTCTCATTAATACAAAATTATTCAGAGCCTTTAATTTGCCTAAGCATGTTGATTTATCTTAAAATTTCTCCACATAACTCAAGTAAAATACAGATAATCTGAGTTCATATCACGTGCCTACACATTTACTGCGTTAATGCAAGTATAAATACAGTAGTTTATTTTTTATTTTTAATTGAATAATTCACACTCCTCTTCCCTGAGGTTTTTAATGCGTACATTCATAGACCCCCTAGCTTCAATTTTTATGGGACATCCCTTCCATAAATAGAATTGTCATAGGTCATCGATGGAGCTTATAACATCTCACCATTATATCCATTTTTCCCCTTAGAAATTACCAATTGCTTGAGTTGATGCAGCATAAATAATCAAAAAGTCAGTTAATGCTAGGTTTAAACCTATTTATAAATTTCAGGGATCTAGTCCAGGTAAAAAATTAAGCATTGTAAGCTCTTAATACTTAAGGGCACACGAATCTAATATACTCTTCAGCTTTACACCCTTTTCTATTTTTCCATTCTTTTTCACAAATGCAAATGAGCTGCAACTAGCTAAATTAATAGTGCAAGCAACAAATCCCACAAACAGGCTAGACCATACCTTCTGTTTCTCTTCCAAAGCCTCTTCAGCTGCCTTCATCTTTGCTACTGAATCATTCTCATCATCCCTGCAACAATAGCAGACATTTCATCAGAAGCTATACAAATTTTAATCAATGGAAAGGCAGAGCAGCAAAATCTTCAAGAGCCAAGGCAAAAATAAAGAGAATATAAAGTAAAACCTTCAATCCATATCATTGATATAAAGCATGGGACCATCCTTGTTTAAACATGTAACACCTTTTTAACATCTTGAGAAGAATTTATTATCATCTTGACTGCGGTTTGAAAAAATAGTTTGTGGCTTGATATAAGAGCATAAATCCTCCAAAAGCAAGCAAATCATCAATCAATCATGTCAACATATCTGGTGAATATATATTAGTTTAGTCAAAAACAAAATCAGAGTATCAGATCTAAAGACGTTATAACTGACCGAACAAAATGGTCAACCAACATGCAAACTATAATTATAACAGTAACTCACCCGTGTTCAGTTCCTCTTGAATTTGTCATCTGCCAAAGAAAAAATAGTCCAACCATAAGTTCCACGCAAAACTTCAACATGAAACCAAAGGAAGTGCACAGCAGGAAGAGAAAGGAACCAAAGGAAAAAATGACAGTCAAAAGGTTTGGAAGAATAAATAAATCATTAGTCTGGGTTAAAGGGGAATGACTCCACCATCCACTACAAATACAAGGTCAGGGATAAAAGTTTAACTCGGTTGTTGAACGTCTTTCTCATCAATTCATGGCACCAAGCAACCAGAAGACATGAAACAAAGTTTGGGAAAAAAGCCCCCCCCCAAAAAAAAACAGAGAGAGAGAGAGAGAGAGACTGACGTCTTTCTAAAAGCCCACCCGGCTAGGCATAACTCCTCCTTCCCCTCATCATCAAGAAAATAAAAGAAAAGAAGGGGTTTTAGAAAACAAATGCCACGACATCTAGGTTGATTAAAATGAAGAACAATAATCAGCAATTCCTCTCCCCCTCTAGCCTCGAAATATAAGGGATGAATACGCATCACATAAAAAGGCTAATGTGAAAAGATAGTGTATTCATATGAAAAATATCACTACTGCATGACTACAATGATGTCTAGCTTTTATGATTTTGTCTCATCCACCGCATCTTTGCCAGCTTTAGTATTATGTTAGGCTTAAGCTGTTTTGGCTTTCCCAGAAGCTTAATATGAAAATACTGATCTTTGATTTGGAGAAGCTGGCAAAATCTAGGGCCTGCAGCAAGCGTTGACAGACAACACTCGGACCAGCAATGTACTTTCAGCAAGTTTAGCCCCACTAAGCTTTCCATGAGGCAAGCAGCATGCTTAACAAACTATGTTAATAAATGGCTTCAATTTCTTTTTTTCCTCATCATAAAAAATTACTCTATATGAGAAAAAGAAAGAAAATTAATGCCACAGCCCAATGTGTCAGTCAATGACAGTCTATCAGGGCATGTGACAACAGGATCTGACCCCCTTTATCATCACCCAATTAGCGACCATCAAACCAAATAAAATCATAAGCTTAACTAATTTTAATAGAAGTATCCAAAGCCCCAAACAGGTTCAAGCAAATGCATAGGGTCTTCAATTATCTTTTCATTTTTGTCTGTAAGGCAAATCGCTTCTCCAATCAACAATCCTAGCTCAAGCTTCATTTCAAAATTTGAGGTCTCCCAACCATATTCAACACTGAAGAACTGCAATGGTTCTGAATTGATTGTTTATTCAAATGAGGTAGCCGAAATAAATAGAGTACAGAAACCCTAATAGATGAGGGTGATAGGCCGAAATCCTAGTGATTGACTTAGATCCTAGGAAATACAAATTCAAATAATAATAAAGATGAAAACAGAATAATTTCCTAGATACTAGATTACATAATAAATTTAAATTTCAGACTAGTGCTAACTAGGGTTAGGGTTTTTAGGCCCGTAGCCCAATTCCTCTTTTGTCGCCAACAAACACCATTGTGGCATTATCTTTGTCAAGCAAATCGCAGCCCACTGCTTATAATCATACTCAAAAGATGCCTTTCTTTCTCTTAAATCAGCTGGCAGCCTCATACTCATGGGATAAACTACAACAACAAGCCATATCCCACTAAGAGATGTGGACTTCATTCAAGCGTTGTGCATAAATATTCGATCATGCTTAGTTCTTTAACCAAACCAACTCTCATCATTCCATCCGTTTGATTGAATACAGAACATCATCTAACAATACCTAGATTTGCCACCCATATCATACACTGATATAACACTTGATACATACTTTCCCGCACAAGTCATTATGAACAATGATATACCAATATATGAAACAATAGCAATTTAAATGCTGACTCTACAATGCATTGCAACATAAAGTTTACTTAGATGCTTGTAGAAATAATTAAAGACATGCGAGTGAAATATCTAATATTTATTGAAAGCATGATGTTGTTAGCTCGGGTAAATCTACCAGTATCCCTTCACAACTCCCGTTCTTTCAAAATAAAACAAAAACTTCAACAAAAACACAAAAACAAAAATATCGCAGTCGTTTGAGCAAACAATAATCCTTAGCAAAACTATCAATTGATGCATTTAAATCGATAAAAAATAGTATTGAACTCTAAGCATTATTCACAGGGTTGGATATCACCAGACACCTCATCACGAGCCATCAGATGCTGAGGAGACGGAGATCTGTGCCTGTTCCTGCCATTGCGATGATGCTCAGGAGAAGTAGTAGGCCTCTCATGTCTGGACCTTGAAGACCTGTTTCTGCCGCTGTCATTGTGGTTATCATCAATTTCATCCCTTCCAGAAGACCTCTTCTCCTTTCGTTCAATCACCATATCTCTATCCGAACCCCTTCCTCTATCTCTGTCTCTATCCCTATCAGTTCCTCTGCCACCCCCATGATTTTGCTCACTGTCACGGCCAGCTTGAGCTTTCTTCAATCGCTTTGTTCGCGGCGAGGGAGAGCGAGAGCGAGTAGGAGCTACCGGAGACTCAGAGCTCTCCCTGACCGGTCTCGCCGACCCACGACTTGAATGGTGGCGCTTCTCTGAAGGCGGCGGAGAAATGCTCCGGTCCCTCACCGGAGAAACATCATGCTTGTGGGAATGGGAATGCCTATGCCGGCGAGAGGGTGATCTTTCTCTGTCTCTGTCTCTTTCTCGTTCTCTTTCTCTTTCCCTTTCCCGGTCTCTTCGCGAGGAGGATGCTGGGCTTCTCCCGCGAGCCCTAGGCGGAGGAGATTCGGAGGAGTGACGCCCCATCAGATTCACAATGCTCAGGGCATTGAGTTTCTACAGAATACCAAAAGTTGATGAGGACAACAAAGAAAATAAAGCGATAATGGAAAGAGGACAGCAGCTTGCGAATTCGGAACTTGAAGACAGTGTTGTGCAGAGGAGCCTGGTGGTTACAGGTTAGTACGCTGTGGAGAAGAGAGGGAAGAAGGGGGTTAGGGTTTATCAACTCAGATTTTCTATTTCAGTTGGCTACCATTTGATCTGGTGGATTATTCCTTTGAGGCTTCATTTTCTTCATTTCACAATTTTTTTAAGAAAAAAATATGTTTTAATATTTTTAATAAAATATTTTCAAATATTAATTTTTTTATCTTAAAAAATTAAATACAAATATTTTGATAAAAAGTACTTTCCAATAAAACCCATTTTATAGCATGATACAGAAAAAAAAAAAAAAGTTTACGCAATTTTAATAAAATATATATAAAAAATTAAGGGAATATGGAAACATGTTGGCCAATAATTTTTTTTCTCGTGTATAAATATCATCTTAATATTCTAAGTAACTTTATATTAGAAAGCACTAAATGTAAACAATTCTTTCAATTAAGATGCTTGTCCATAGACCGTAATTGATAAAGAAAATTAGAAAAATTTTCAAAAAAATAATTATTAAATTTCAAAATTCGAAATCAGAAATTACTATAAAAAATGTGTTACTATTTGTTTTTTGAATGTAATCATTTTCTTTACAAATATAGTAACCAATACTAATTTAGAATTTTAAAATTCAACAGCAATTTCTTAAAAAAAAATTTCAATAAAATTTATTCGTTCTATCTTTTTTTTTTTTTTGGGGTTTTATTTCCCTTCTGTGCTTAAATTTTGTTGCTGCTGATAACATCAGTGCTCAATCCTTTAACTTGCCAACGTTGCCATTAACCTTTCGCGTAAAATATGCTATCAAATCTAAGTGATGCTAAATGCTGTTTTTTCTTTTTCTCAATTCAATAATAAGCTCAAAACGATCCTGTGTAGGTGGAAGAACCGTTCACTTTCAATTGAAGAAGGTCTTGGCTTCAGACCTCTAGAATTCTGATTAAACAGGTCTAGACTCATCTGAAGAATCATCAAAAAAAATTTAAAAAAAAAAAAAGCCTCTAGGAAATGATGCAGAACAAGACACATGGAGAATGGAGGAGACAGCAAAATAGGATAGCAAGATAGTTTGATTCTCCCTTACCATTTCGTTCATCAAAGTGATCTGAACAAAGAGTTGTAGAATGATCTTGGCAAATGTTGATTCAAGGTTTGAAGCAGAAAACATGTTTAATTGAGTTTGAAAACCCAAGAGCCAAGATGGTGACAGTGAGGATGACTATTGACCATCCTTCTTCTTCAGGGGGTTTAAAAAGAAAAAGAGAAAGAAAAAAAGAAAGACTTTGGCCATAGAATCTCAGAAAATTTCCCCATTAGCTATCCAATAAATCAGCTAGAACTAAAGAGATCAAAGACAAGATCAGCTGGGTTGCTCAAGAAAGGAATTTCAATATCTACATATGGTATGAAAATTCCAGCAAGCCCCCCTTTTGATGAGTCAACAACATGACTTTCCTGAGCTCTCATACAACATACCACAGTAGTTTGGGAAAGCATCTTTCCATCAAAAGACTTCAGGATTAGTTTCTCACTCTCTACAACTAGGAGAACGCTGACATGGAAATTGAGAGATGACATTCAGCAACTAATTAGGCTTCATAAATCCCTTCAGTTTCAGAAGAACGTAGGTCCAGATATTGGTGGAACAACTCCTTGAGATGCTCCCTTCTAGATTTTCTGCAAGATTGCGTATAATACATCTGCAGTACTTAGAAAATCACAAGGCATATGTGTGGTACAACCAACGGCTGTTACTCAGGCCAAAGAAGAAAGATGAACAAAACTCATGTCATCGAATTCAATAGAAGATGCTAAACTTCTATGACTCAGGTAAAAAGTTGCCCACTATTACTACTCTGTTAGTCTAATACAATAACTTAAAGCAAATCAAAAGTACAAATTCATCGAGATTCCCAATCTTTCAATTTTTTGCTTCCTTTAGGTTTTGATATAGATGCATTCATTGCTGCCATCTTCTCATTGTATTTTGCCCGAAGAGGGTCATTGTACGTCCACCTGCACCAAATTGAACGTTGGCAACAAGAGCATTAGGGACCGCAATAAGAGACCAGTTATCTACAAACAGCCTAAGCGGTCATTCGCACAATCGAATAAACGATTGAATCTATCCAAAAATATAAAAATAATAAGCAATCAATTGGAGGGGTAAAACACTACTATATTTCGCAGCACTCTTGAAGTAAGAGTGTAAAGAAATTTGCAGGAGGAATGAATAATTTTCAGTCTAGTTGTGGCTATTATTTCTTTCCCTAAACAGCTGATTCATGAAAATAGAATCAACTGACCAGAAAGCATCAAAGTATGCTGTAATTAAATGACAGACCACTGAAGAAAATCATACTGCAAAATATAGCATCAAGCAAAATGGCACTGGATTCTCAGACTTTACTAAGAAATTGACTGTCAATTTTAGGGGGAGGGGAATAGACCCAACCTGAGGGGCCCCTTTGAGAGGTAGGTCACAGTGAGTGTTGAGTCAAGTCCGGATTGTTCCATTTTGCAAAAGAGAAACGAATTATTTTGAATAAACTCCTATTGCCTACATCTCTAGGGAAAAAACAAACTACATTCATGGAAATAAACGAACTTTTTCAAATGATCTGATCAGTCATGATTTGCTCCAAATGACTCATTCTCCTACAAATTGAGACAATTCGGACTAGTGTGGGTGTGGGTCCCACATAAACATATTAAAGTCACTGCTCACTGATAGGAATCTGAGTTCAGTACTAGTTATGAGCAAGAATTAATCTACTCACAAAAAGAAACAAAACAAATAAGAAATCATCACAACATCCCCCTTGGTATTGTGATCATGCTCTACCCTTTTTCATTCAGATTATCCTTGTCCTCCCCCCAGAAACTCCGTTCTTCAATAATCCGTCCTTAAACCTTTCTCTCCCCTCTCTCCTGCCGGTGCACTACCTAACAAAGGCAGTTACACTTGGTTTCCCTTTCCTTCCCTCTTCTCCCAGCTCTCTTTCCTAGATACTTTGGTCCTCCTTCCTAGATAGTTTGGTCCTCCTTCTACTTTCTTCTTCAGTAAAATAGGCCTCTTTCAATGCCCTTTTGAGACCGTTTTCCTTTCCTGATACAGACCTTCCCTCACATCCTGTCAGTCTCACCAGTCACCACTCACATCATTAAATTGCCAAGTTGGTGAATCCATCCTTTACAAAGGTCCTTCATATTCTTACTCTTGTCATTAGCAGAACGTTCAAACAAAGATGTTTACCCAAACCCAAAGGGGGGGGGGGAACGGTCAAACAAAGACATTCATAAAATTCCCAAGTTGGTAATTCCATCCTTTACGAAGTTCCTTCTTATTCTTACTCTTGTTATTAGTAGATCGTTCAGAAAAAGACAGATTTTTTTTTTTTTTTTGAGGGGGGGGGTGTTTTGTTAAACTAACTCGATTTTGATCTGAGCTCACTCAACTTTATAATGATATCAAAAACGTGTGAATACGAGACCATCATAGATCAGCATCATGGAAAATTAAGATTGGAAGTCAAAACATGCAGAAAATGTTGGCAAATAAAAAAACACTTTTGCCAAATAAATAAATAATGTAGTAGACAGGCAATAGTTTCAAAAACAAGGAAAATTGAAGAGAAAGAGTACTTACGGGTTGTTCCAATCAGTAGTATCCTCATTAACCAAATGGGTCCACTTAGTTCTTCCACTACGACCAAAGTGCTTGACTTGCATAACTTTGGGTAAGATTGTCTTGTCCATCTTATCTTCTCCAGTTGGGGCAGAGAAATCACGAGTGTAAATATAATCAGCCCCAACTGTTGCAGATCGATCATCAGGATTGGACTGAAAGAAGGCACCCTTGTGGTAGTATTTCTGCATGAACCTCCACTTCTGTTTTGGTTGTGCAGCTGGCCTTGGATTCTTCCTTTCCCACTCCCTCCTCTCTTCTTCTGTCATGTTTCTCACCTTCTCAATCTCTTCCTTCTCCTTCAACATTGCCTCACGATCATCCCTGTCTCTCTTGATCCGACCAATCTCTCTCACTTTCCAAGCCTCGTATTCCTCTGCCTCATTAACCTCATCATCAGTATCTATGTCAGCAACATTTGCTTCCAACTCCAAATTCTTCTGGATTTCTACATCTTTCCGGATCTCCTCAACAACAATCTGTTTTGTCTCTGTTTTCCTTTCCTCCAATCTCCTTATCTTAGCCTCCTCAAGGGCCCTCTCTTCAGCTTCAAGACGTTCACGCTCAGCTATAGTATCTCTCTCTGATTTGGGAACAAATACAGGCTTCACCATTGCAATTCCACCAAGTTCCTCCTCTGAGTCAGTCTCATACTCAGATTCCTCTTCTTCCTCTTCCTCCTCCTCTTCCTCCTCCTCCTCTTGAGGAAGTGCTTCTTCCTGTTCTCTTTGAAGCAATTTTTCCCTAATTTTTCTTCTTCTTTCCTCCAAAGCCTCCTCATCTTCTTCCTCTAATTCCAACCCTTCCTGTCTCCTTGCTTCCTCTTCAATTGTAGAAACAATCTCAGCTTGCCGAATGCGCCGATGATCGGCCCTCACTTCATCACGATTATCTATTCTGCTTTCAGCCAAACGACGGAGCCTAGGATCATCCTTTTTAACAATGTCAGAATCTTCTTGACTAGGAAATGCTTTCTCCAAGGCAGCTTCCTTGGCTGTCCTAATATCGCTTTCTTCAATATCATCATCAGCCCATTCAGGAACTTTACCCGGCCAATACCGCTTAACTTTTGTCTGCCCGATTTTTCCCCTGAGCTTATCCCTTATAGCTATTATGGTATCACTAACTCCTGCTGTCACTGACATGGTTTTTTCTCTGAATGAAAACTGAAATCAATATTTTCCTTCCCTTCCTTCAGACCCTAGTTCGTTTAGCCATTCATAAACAATAATAAGCAACTTGTTTAAAAATGATCAGGTAACCCAAAATAAATTTTTTATTAAAAAAAAAAGTGCAAGGATTATAAGGAAGGAAAACGATAGAGAGAAATCCAATATATATTCATGAAAAGAATAACATATCAGCAGACGAAAGCTAAAGTCCAAATAATCAAATTCGAGATACTCTTTATAACAAAGGCGGCAGGCTCTGAATTTAAGGAAAATCTTACCCCCAAGTTGAACATGAGTAGAAAGAAACCAAAGAAAAGCAAACATTGACAATTTTAAAAGTCGAAAAGCACATAATTAATTTCAGAAAACAAGAACGTCGTCCCGCAGCATATTATATAAAATTAGCTTATAAGCCCTAAGTCCGAGCATGGAAGGAAGAGAAAGGGTTCGAACCTTCTTCAATGCTTGCCGAGGAAGAACCAAGCCGGGCTAACAACGGTGGGCGGCGTCCGGCGGCGAGCTCGACCAAGCGTGGGATGCTTGTTCGTCGATGAGGAGGAATGGATCTGTGAGATTGTTTTATTGGGGTTATAGGGAATATTAGCATCACAGGGGCCCTCGATCACTACTGGTCGCCTTAAAATTGGACAGCATACATGTAAAGTTTTCAATATCCAATTTTTTTTATAGTAAACTTATTTCCCTTTTAATTATAAGACTATTTTGTTTTCAAATTTTATATCTTTCAAAATAAAAATATTTTTAAAACTTGAAAAAAAATATAATTGAAATATGAAATATTTAAAATCAATATAAATAGTGTAGGATGAGCATCTCCGAGATCTTATAATAATTTATCCTAATTATTATTATCTTAGTTAACATAAGCACTCTTCCACCAATATTTGATGTGTTATTTTTCAAAATATCTCTCATAAATATAAAAATTAAAGTAATTATATTTTGAAAAATAATTATTACCCAATTAATATTACTTTTAATTATTAAAGGTAGAAAACATGTTTCTCTTTTTTTAATTACAGAAAACAATTTTCTCTCTGCATAGAACAATTCTCAGCATGTGTCTTGCCTTATTTATTGCTCATATTAGATAACGAAATAATTTTTTAACTTTTTTTATATTCACGTTATAACTAATTTTGTTAATTTGGTTTCTAAAAAGCATTATTCTCTTTTACTAATATAAATCCCTTTGTAGATAGATACTAGTTTTGAAATAAAAATCATCTTTATTTACGAAGTAAAGATTATGCTTCAGATATTTTCTTTGGCTCGGGTTTTCATGCCATCAATTTTTAATTGCTTTCTTATATAGTACTTGAAATATATATATATATATAGTGTGTGTGTGTAGCTTTGATTCAAAACAAAACAAAACAAAACAGAATTGTTAGAAATATATAGTTTGAAAACAAAACAATTTGACCAATAGGCTTATAGCCTAGTAGCATTTATGCTCCCGTAAGTGTTGTAACCTTTCTCCCCTTCAATGAAAAAAAAGAAAAGTTGAGCTTGAAAAGTTAAAGATTCAATCAAATCAAATTCAGTCTAAAAAACACTATTCCTCGGAATCCCATCAGAGAGCAGATCAACAAGTGTATCTCCCTCTTTATCATTTTTAGTTTCGCCATTTTCACAAACAGTAGCAACTAATGGAGGCCGGTCTTCCTGTGTGGATAATTTAGGACGCTTGATTGAGACAAACGCCACCTTCTTAAAAGAAGAGGAAGAATCAAGTTTAGTGGGTGAGTTCAGTGATGCATGCAATTTCAAGCCATCCTTTGGTGGAATTTCATTAAAAGACAAGCCTTCTATGGTGCTGCCTGGATCTCTTCCTTCCTCATCACAACTTCTCATCTCTTCCTGATTCAACAAATCAGTAGTCACACCGTCCACACGAGAGGGCTCATCATTGACAGAAGCGTCTAAATTAGTTCTCTGAGACAAGTTGGTCATTTTCAGTTTCTGCAAAATCATAACAGTTTCCCAAAATTTGGTCAAAAATCAACAAGTTGGTGGTTATTTGCAGTTTCTGCATGGCATATATTTTTTCAAGGCTTGGTCCAAAGCCTATGATACTGTAAAATTCAAGACTGATAGGAAGACATAAATTTATAAAAAGTCACACTACTTATAGGGATAGTTCACATGCTTCGTACAATGCAAACAAAGAAAAAAAAAAGAAAAAATGATAGAATGTGGCAATGACATAGTGGGAAGAACACATAATCGAGATTCTCACCTCCAAGACAAGATTCAATACTTTTGTAGTTGATAGCTGATGCTTGGACAGAGATGCTTTCTCGAGAATCTTCACTTTTACTTGCATTTTCATTCTTACATTTCTTCTCGAGAAGTGCAAACTTATCTGATTTCCACACACACTCTAACCTGACAAAATCCTCATTGACTGGAAAGTATTCCTAAAAACCTGCAGAAATAGTATATGTATATAGAAGAGTGATAATAATATGGCTTGAAGAACATGGTTTCCTGCGCCCAAGTATTTTTCTTAAAATATGCAAAGATTTAGTATAAACCAACCTCAACTCCCTCCTGCTTTATCTTATTGACTGCTTCTTTTGAGAGATAGAAGAAACTATGTTGAACAATGTGACAATATCAAGTAACATCTGTACAAATAAGAAATGGTTCAAGATTAAGTTGTTCTTTTCTTAAAGAGAACAGTTGGTAACGCAACAATCACTTAACAACAATCTTATTGGCCAGCATTAACTTATAAACCATAGCCCTCACACACAAAACTAGAAAAGAATACTTTACAAACAAAACTTACATTTGCAGAACAACATTGAAATATTGTAAACTACTTGTTGAATTAAAACCCGGAGGCGCGCAAGGATAGCCATGATTGTTAGAGAAAATCCCATGAAAAAAGACTGAGCAAACAGAATAGATACCTCACTATTGAATAGTTAAGGGAAAAACAACACGCTCTAAACCAATAAAGAACGGTAATGGTGCAAATGACAACAACAAATTCTAGAAAAAGATTAAGAACTTTCATCTCCCTCCAAGCAACCTGATAACAAAAGACTAAGCCAGAAAGAGACAACAAAGAGAGAGGGGAAGAAGTGAATGACTAAATGTTTATATGCCTTGCGCCAAGATTGAGGCCTGGAATATTCAACTAAATCAAGGGTATGCAATAAACCAGACAACTGTTATGAAGTATAAATAACTAGCTTGCTATCAGGAGGATACGTTGCAGCCTTCAGCACTGGTTCAACCATCTGCACGAGAAAACATAGCACACATAAAAAATGGGAATAGGTTGTAGCGCTAGTAAGCAGCGCATTCAGAAGAAATTGCCATCAGGGTCAATCAATGGAACGAAATTTTCATAATATAGTATGCATAGAATAATGAATGGACCAACTACACTCACAACTATGAACTACAAGGTTTCCTGCAGAATTTGGAATAAGCCATGTAAAATCTTTGATTAATTACATAACTCCCAGCATTATCTTCCTCAATATTTTTGCTCAGACAGGCTTTGACATTGATGATATTTACCAATGGCAAGCAGAGTATCTCAACGAGAACCAAGTATTTTCACCAATATGCTGCTAAAATAATACAACTACTGTCTAACAAGCAGGTGGCAATTAGTTGGTAAATTAATGTTCAGACGCACACAACAAATGATCTGCCAAAGTAGAAGCACAGTAACTTAGTAATGAAGATAGTAAAGTAAATCTTCAGAATTCACATGCAATTGTACCTCTGCCAGCAGGCGTGCAGCTCCTAAAATCCGCTCCAGAAAATTATATTTTCCACTGTTGCATTTCTCCTTTTTAAACTATCATGGAACAGTAAGCCAAAAAAAATTATAAACTTCATTATTCACAAAAAATTTCGTAACAAAATATTCAAATGAATGCTATTACATCATATTTTCAGATGATCTCACGAATAAGAATTTGAAAAAATTCCAATCTTTCCCTCCCACATCAGATTAAATTATGAAGTCAAAAGCAAATAAACTTGGATTTAAGGGAAATAATTAAACAACCACCCCAGTTGATTTGCTTGTTACTACCCAATAAAAAGGCATGCTGATCAGTTTAATTTTGAGAAAGTGGTGGGAGAAAATTTTTTCCAAGAACTATTTGAAATACATTCTTACATAAAATAGAATTTATTGAGGAAAAGAAAAAATATTTAAAATATGAGGACCAGACCCCCCAACGTCTTTAACATACTCATATTGCCATATGAACAGAACTACCCTTGGTTTTAGCACTAATCTGAATGTGTTTATATTGGAAAATTCGATTATGTGCTAAAGTTAGCCTTCAAATCAGTCTATAACCACACTCATTTTATGATTATGCAAAGTTAGACATCCTTTCACAATTAAAGGGTAAATTCCAATTAAATGAATTAAAACACAATTACCATTAGGCACACAGAGATCAATATATAAGTTTGTTGTACCTCTCTAAAAGATGAGCCTTCTGTTTAGGTCTGTCTCCTTGATAACAAGGAGGCACGATATGACAAGGTCCTCCAAGTTCACAGATCGTAGAAGCCGCAAATCCCTCTCTACCTAATTTGCACGTTGCATATATGTAATACAAGTGCGAACAGTCATAATTTAATGGTGATGCAAATGCTGTTAAAATTGACAAATGAGAAAAGATTGCACAAAATCATTGATCAGACAGATGCACAATTTTTATCATTAACAGAAGCCCTTTACATTCTTCATCTTGTGAAACCAATTTGTTGAACCAGGAATGGACCCCGTTTTTGATAAAGGTTGACCAAGAATGAAGAAAAAGCAGAGGGAAGTAAGAAAACACATCTTTTACCTTCAAAAGATACTTGAAATAAGAACAACGCCTATGCTGGTTCTTGTTCTTGTACACCATTCTTTCAAGTACGCCGTACTCTGCTTGGAGTTGACCAAACAAAGATGTAAATCTTCTCTCAATAGTTTCAACTTCGGAATCCATTAAATGTCAGTACTAATACGCCGAAAAAAGCCAGCTCTGCAATATTTTTAAGGAATGTTTAATGATGAGAGTGGAAAATCAGAAAACTTCACAAAGAACACTATAAAGAAAATCAGAAAGCAAGAAGAAACCAACAGGAAATCACAAAGCAGAAAACTCACGCGAGAAAATTAGAAACACCAAACCCGCGGTTTCACTGATAGGGGGTCGTATATATAAAATTCATATAAGTTTCACTGATAATTACATATGAGTCTATTTATTCCCTGACTTAATTGGAAAATAAGGCAGGAAAGGCAGAACCGAGAACCTCTCAGAGAATACAGACTTTCACTTATAAGAGCATAAGCCTAAGTTCCATTGCAAGTACTGATATAGTTGGCTCAAGACATTACATTCACAATGTAATTGACTATTGGAACCCAAATCCAACGATTCCAAGCTTGTGTGAGCTTCGACAAATTATCCAGCAAATCACCGAAGAAATCATTGAATGAAAGAACTAGCTTATTCAAGCTGCTCATGTCCACGAAAATTTCAATCCGTAACTCACTGGAAAACTTGTTTTCAGATAATAACAAACAATTCCAGCGAAGAACAGGCGCTCAAACCGCGCGGAATCGTACCGGAGAGGGAGTTCAAGGAAAGATCGAGCTCGACGAGAGTGGTGCACAAATTGCCAGTCCTTCCGGAATCTGTGGAACTTGTTGCAGCAAGATAAAGGAACTGCAGAGTGTCCAGAGTAAGTGACAGAACCGGACTAGAGAACTTGAGGCGGCTGAGCTGAGCTTGTAGCAGGAAGAGAAACGAGGCCAATGTTGACGAAATCTCAGCTAGCAGGGATGCCGAGGTTTTCCCAACGCCAAACATTCACCGAACGAAGGAATAGCGACAGAAAATTTAGCGCCAAATAGGTTTGATGTTCATATTGATCGCGTACTTCGGGAAAAAAAAAAAAAAATATTAAAGTTTATTTATGTAATTATTATATTTATTCATTATTTTAAATATAAACTAAGTATTTGATATAATATAACTTTCCTCAAATGGGTCCTAATATTAATTTAATTAATAATACGATCCAAGCAGGAATATCTTCTTACATATGATAATAATATGGTTAGTTATGATACTTAAAATAAGTTACATTATTCAATATTTTTTAATAATACAATACAATGAAAAGTAACTATATTACATTTATTATTATCGAAAAGCAATCAATTATTCATTGAGAAAATTCCTTAAAAAGCAGTTAAGTTACCTAAATTACATCTTGAGTAGTTTCGTTAATGAACATATGACTCAAACTGGAATTTGGAAATTTTGCCAACTCACCCCAGTATCCTAAGAAAAAGTAAGACTGACAATAGTTTGCCACCACAAATGGAAACTGGTGGTAATTGAAAATAAGAGCTTATCAAACGCAAAATAACATTTCAATTCTAATGTTATTTTATACTCGAGAGAAATTTATTGCAAAAATTTGTTCCGAATAGCAACCTGTGAATTGCAAATTGCCAAAAAATTTGAAAGAAAAATATCGCCATCATACTTTATTTTCCCTTGCATCCGTTTCATCTTTGCTTGCCAAGTCTTCAAATTCGTCCATTATCCAATTAATGAAGAATTATA